TTTGCTTTACTCCTAGTCTGTCCAGGCCCTAAGCTGATGGAATGATGCTGCCACTGTGAAGGCGGGATCTGACTTCCTCAGCCCACGGTCACATGCTGGCCTCCAAAGGTACCTGTACCAACACTCACAGAAGAGCATATTTGCTGTCCATCCTTTGGCCACTCAAGCACCCAGTATTAACCATGACAGTCAAGAATGGTATATGAGGCAGAATATAGATGAATAACAGGAGTGTCCTTTCGTTTGCTGTGTTTGTCTCACATTTCAAATCTCTCTTTCCGTATGTCTTATCTGTGTGTGCATTTAATATTAAACACAACACAGCCAAGCATTGTGGCATGCACCGGCAATCCCAGCATTTGGGAAATGGAAACAGGAGGACAAGGAGTTCAAGATCAGTCTCAGCTACATTGTTCATGGCCAGCCTGGGTTGTATGAAACCGTGTTTTACAAAACAAAACGAAACAAAAAAACCTAGTAAGTTTACAGTCGAGGCCAAGAAATAGGTCTCCCCACTGCAAATACAATAGCTCACTGCCTAAAAATTTCACTGTCTACATAGTGTAAAACAAGGTAAACAGAGCCTGAGTAAGTTTTGACTCCATAATTAGCAGCAGTTGAGAGGTGGTTTTAGTTTTATGCAGGTTTGTGTGTGTGTTGTGTGTGTGCCTGTGTGTTGTGCACACATTGTATGGTTGCTCATGCATGTGTATTGTTCAGTTCAGGGAGAGTCAAGCCATTGGTGTAGAAGAATCCCAATGTTAGCCTACAGGCTCTTCTCCTTCCCCACCCCCAACCAAAATACAGCAACTCTTGTGAAACCTTCCCAGCAAATAGACTTGCCCATCTTTGCTGGTCCTCCAGCTCTGTGGTACCCCCTCCTGGCCTTCATTTCCGTGTGAGTGTACGATTGCGGAAAGCCTTTACTTCCTAGTGTTTCTTCTTTCCTTCAGGGACGCTTCCCAGGTGCTTTCACCCTAGAGATCTCTCCTCTGGGTTTAATATTAGTGAAGGCCATAAATATCTGTGAGGTTTCTATTAGTGTCCATTTGTGTCATTAGTGAATACTGAGCCTGCTGACAGAAACAGTGGGTCTGCTGTTACGAAGTCCACACCTCACTGCATTGAGTCTGAGAAAAGTAAAGCATGTGGTTGTTTCTCTTCCTCTGTAAAACAGTAACAGTAATCAAGGCTTACTGAGAGATGAACATTGCTCAGCTTCTATATGAACGGACCTGGTCTTCACAGTCTACTGAAGGGGAGACACAGGCTATATGGGAAAACTGAGGCTGAACTTATTTGAGCATAGTTAGAGCTTAGTGCATTGTAAAACCAGGATTCCAGCCAGGGAGTTTAGTTTGAGGCATATGATTCCTGAATTTATGGTTTTGGCTTTAATTTTCTGTGATTTTGAATAAGTCATTGACTTATGAGGAGTAGGAATCAGAGCAGGCCTTCTGTATTTAATTTTCAGCAACCTGCAATGTGATGTGGCCTTTGACCTAAGAGCGCCTGCTGCAGCAGTGTCCTCCAGAGAAGACATGCTAACCCTCAGGATGGGAGCACTGGGTGAGGCCAGTGAGCAGACACACCATAGCTCCATTTTTTTCTGCTGGGTCTGGTCTCAGAAGACATCTAATTGTAAACATATGAGGAGACCCTTCACTTTTCAAGGGCCCCCGGAGGCTGCTAGGGTTACTGGTGCTGATAGACACTGCAGCCTTCTCTTAGAGTTGTAGCCCAGTACACTGAAATGGCCCTCTGCGTTCCTTCTTAACAAAAGAGTGTTGCTCTTTTGTCAAATCACTGGCCTACTTAGAAATACAGTACCAATTGCAGATGTACATATGTTTACAATTTTTGTCTGCCTTTGTTGTGCTGTGTATGTGGAAGTAGGAGCTCAAGTGTTCATGTTTTTACACAATGCTGCCGCCCTCTGGCTGTGGTGCAGTACTGCATCAGGAGCTCCAACTTTGTCAGAGTTGCAGGTCTACTTACAAGTGAGGCAGAGTAGGTGTTTGCTTTGGTTTGGTTATATAGAATCAGTGGGCATGCTTGGATTAGTTGGTAACTAGTAATACAGAAATAATACATCTAAGTAATGGTTTCTATTACTTTGGCTAGGTTCAGAAAAAATTTACTTTCCCGTCATTGAATCCAAAGAGTCTTTCTGATGTAGCTCAGGTTTTCGGGCATCTTTCAAGTGTTGCAGAAATACGTAGATGCTTAGCTATTGGAGCACGATTGGTGCGGGTCCTGGCAGCCGGAGTCCTGGCTGCACTGGGAAGTTACCATTAGGGTGAGCTGTAAGCATCTGCTGGGGGTCAGCGCCGCCGCTTACGCAGAGCTCTCTTGGAGGGAGAATGGCTGCTGCATCTCCCCACAGGCTTCCTGACAGAGGGTGGAGCCTCTCCTTCCTTCCTTCCTTCCTTCCTTCCTTCCTTCCTTCCTTCCTTCCTTCCTTCCTTCCTTCCTTCCTTCCTTCCTTCCTTCCTTCCTTCTTTCTTTCTTAACCTGTTTTCAGATGCTGTCTTTACACTCTTTCACCAGTTCTTTAAATTGTTTTTTTTTGCTTTGCAGGGTGAAAGAGAAATTCATTATCTTAGAGAGTGACCACAGTTACACCAGCACAGATAGTGGTGGCGTTGGGAGTTCATGATGACAGGCTTTCTATGTTTTCTAGTTAATTGTGCCCTCTATTCTGTAGTGCATGGGCTAGGTTTTATGTGACCATTTTGGCTGTAGTTTCTGAAATGCTAAATAAAACAAAAAGAGTTTAGTTCTAAGTTTTCAACTGGCATGGACTTCATTTCTGTCCACACACAGAGAGTCAGCAGCGCTTAGAGACATTTCTCACTGTCACAACTCGGGGAGGGCGCAGCGCCCAGCAGTGGTGAGACGACAGATTATCTGGCCACATGTCAGTGGTACAGAGGAGATGAAGCTTGGAATTGTGTCTCTTATTTCAGTGAATGATGTTGGGCACCCAACAGGCCCTGGGGTTCTATTTTTTCTTTCAGGTGATGCTGTCTTGGCCCTGCTCTTTTTCTCTCTCTCACGTTGGTATGAAATGGAGGGACAAGTATTTTTTTTGGGGGGGGGGTCTTGGTGTGTGTGTGGTGTATGGTATGTGGTCTCTTGCTCTGCTCTTCGAATCCTTCAGCTGCACTTTCCTTGTAGTGAGTCTTACCTCTCAGTACCTGCATGTGTGGTTAGAGGTGAGTTAGAAGACTCCAGTTGTCCTGTAACTCACTGAAGGACGGAATCAGCTTCTTCTTTCTCGTATGAGCATGGGAGGCTCTGCGCTGCTTGCTGGCCTCCCACTTGGTCCATCTGTATTTCTTTCTGGTCTCTGCCTTTGCTTAGAAATTCCACGGAGGCCTTTCCCATCTTCCTGGAGGTTACACAGTTTTTCCATTATCTCCTGCAGAAGGTGACTGCTTCTTTCTTCAAACACCAATATCCTGCACCTTTTCTGTGAACCTTCTCATACTGTTTGTTGTCGGTTTTTCTTCTGTACATAGTGCAGACCAATTTTGCCTTTAAGCTTTTCAGTGTAAAAGTATGAATGAGGACTGGAGAGATGGCCCAGAGGTTAAGAGCACCGCTTGCTCTTGCAGAGGTTCTGAATTCAATTCCCAGCAACCACATGATGGCTCAAAACCATCTATAATGAGATCTGGTGTCCTCTTCTGGCCTGCAGGCAGAGCATTGTACACCTAATTTAAAAAAAAAAAAAAGTATGAATGAGTAGAAACCAAGGCCTACACAGTACAACTATCTTTTGTATGCACAGTCTGTTGAATGTAAGCCAATGGTGAGGCCCTGTTTTTGTGGGCATGCCTGTTTGATAGCTGATGCAAAGTAAGAGTCATGGTGTTTATGATATTTACTGTGGGATAACATTCCACATTTTGAGTGATATTGAGATTTATGACGGTTCTTTCCCTGCCCTTGCTGGTCCTTTAGTACAGAGTATATTTGTTTCTTTATCAAACCAACATATGTCCTCTTTCATAAATGAGGATCCCTGACATTCTTCAGAGGTCAGCTGTCCTCTTTACAAACATGAGTTTTTTTGAGCTTTGGCCACTATGCTTGTGGCCGGTGAGCCTATAAGAAAAGATAGAGGCTTCCAACAGGGACGATACTGCTCTTACCCTTTACTGTCCTAGTGGCTGACACTTTTTCATGACACACGGGAAACATGAGTGCTCTCTGGGTTGAGCTGTCTACAGCATAACACGCAAGCGGTTGACTCTAGGCTGTACCCAGACAGAAGAGATGGTGTCTGGTACCTTAGCTTTTGATTGAGCTGAAAACAAAGCTAACTTATAAAAATCTACGCTTAGTTCTCCTACAGACATTTACAGGACAATGGGGCTCTTCATTTTTTAACAGTAGGTATGTTTAAGCTGCTCTGCTCCCAGGGGTCAAAGGTAAACGAGGCGGGTCCTAGTGTATGGATGCACTTTCTTGTCGCCACCTATTGTCTGTGGTGTGCTTTGTCATTTTGGCATGCAGCAGTGACTTCCATACAGTTCTGTGGCCCACAGTGGAGGGAGAATTTGAGACAGTTTGTGACAGGCAAACCTTGGAGGGAAGAGACTGTCAGGTGTCTCTGGGTAAGTTCTTTCCAGCTTGTTACTTTTAATACGCCTCAACAGTGTGCTCTGATCATTATTATTTACTAAAATGGTTAAGGATTAAGGTAGAAGAAGTATGTTCTCATGTAGTGCTCTGCATTACCATTAAAGAAAACTTTAATACTCAATGCTCTAGTCATACTGAGAAGCTTTGAGATCCATCTCTCTTGTTTCTGAAATAAGTAAATAAGCAATTCGAGGGTTATGGTCCAAGGGGCGTGGTGGCCAGGGACCTGTTGTATTCCTGCTGCGTGCCTGTCCACTGTGTTCAGGGATTTTGGTCATAGGTATGTATGATGTGCACTTGAAGGCACCTGAAGCCTGTTCCTAATGCTGTTAGATTTTCCTTTTCAGAGTAAGAGGGACCACCTACTCATGAACGTCAAATGGTACTACCGTCAGTCTGAAGTTCCAGATTCTGTCTATCAGCATTTGGTACAGGATCGGCATAACGAAAATGGTATGTATGGCCTTGTGATGTCACACTTGTAAATCCTAGCTTTGTGTAAAAACTCTTTCCAAAAAAAACCCAGTTAAATGGAGATTGATTATCGCTGATGGAGTTTCTCTCAAAAGAGCTTGTAATAAGAAAATCATTGCAGAATATCCTCACCCTTGCTTTTACATTATTTTTTTATTTTCCCTAAAACCAACCACCAGCAAAGGAAGGCAGCCTAAAGAGCGAGCTCACTGATTAAGAACATTTGCTACTTTAGGAGAGGGTTTGGATTTGCATCCCAGGATCCACATCAGGCCATTCACAACAACCTATCACTCCAGTTTTGGGGATCCAGTGTCTGCAGCCTCTATGGATACTTGGTGCACATAAAACCCGTACATACATATACATACTTTTCAGATCTTTAAGAAAATACCAAAAATAAAATCAAGAAAAAGAAACAGTTAATGAACAGGAGGTGATGCACACGTTTTTAAAATAGCAGTAGCACAGTTCTCAAAGCTCCTGTATTTACCCTAATGACAGGCAGTATTTTAAACCTGCAAGGTCGTGTCCTCATTCTTTCCAGATGCTTGTGGCCTTCAGCTTCTCCATAGCCTAGACAGTTGCAGTTTTCAGTTAAGGTTGCTGAGTTACACTCGAATATGGGTTAGTTGATGCCTTTCAGAACAGAGGACAGTGGTTCCTGGCAGCTGGTTTCCGCTCTTCCCTGTGGTGTCACGCATTGGCTTAGAACCTTACCGGCATCCAAGTTCGCTGCAAGTGCGCTGTGTGCTACGTGACGCAGGTGGCTTTTTAGAAATTGCCTCTTGAGAGGAACCTCATGTTTCTGCTTCACATTAGTCATCCCGAGCTGTGTGAGGCGCTTTGCGCTAGCATTGTGAATGAAGAGGTTGAGTTAAGAGAGTGCTGTGGGAGTTGTACTAGAGCAGCCCAGGACATGCCACCTGTGTCCCCGCTCACAGCCCTTCTCTGACGGGCTCCAGCTGGCAGTACAGTCAGCTTTTCATAGACGTTTTAAAATCATGTTTGAAAAGATGAAAGTCAGTTAAATTAAGATTTTTTTAAAAACTAGTAACTTGATAGTTCTTTTCAGTCCAGTTGGTGTATGGCGTCATTCCATTTTGGAATGTTTGGCAATAAACAAGTAAGACGGTGACTGGATGGGATGGCATATATCTATAATCCCAGAATCTGAGAAAGAACGAAAGGACAATGATAAAGTTCAAGGCCAGCCTCAGCCTCAGTTACATAACAGCTTCAGGGCTGGCCTGGGTTGAGACCCTGCCACTCAGAAACAGACAGCAGACAGAACACAAAATAGACAGGTTTTCTAAATGTATGACTATCTTGGGAAGAATGAAATTGCTCAGCAGATTAAGTTGCTTGCTTCCAAGCCTGATGACATGAGTTCAGTCACCAGACCCACATAGTGGAAAGGAAGAGCTGACCTCACAGGTGGTCCTCTCTCCTCCACACACATTGCTGTGGCTGCCCAAGTATAAATACATATACATGTTCATGTTTAAAGACAAACAACAAAGAAAATTAACAAGTTGTTTCTTTTAAAAAAATGCTTAAGTTGCTGGAATATGATAGTGGACTTCTCTTTCTCCTTTAAAGAAATATGCTTGTTAAGGCATTTCAGCATACAAAAGGATGTGGTAAAAAGATCTAGTGAATAGTCTTCAGTTGTCAAAGCTGCACACTTGTGTTCTGCTGTTATTCCTGCTACATATTCCCTTCCCTGTTGGGTGTACTTTGATAAAAACTGGTTGTTGTTTGTTTCTACTAGGAGCTAAACTTGAGGAAAAAATTTGCAAAGATTTCCTACATGTTTGGGAAACTATTTTAATATCTTAATTAACTTATTCATTCATTCATTCATTCATTTGTTGTAGACTCTGGGAGAGAACTTGTCATCACAGACCCAGTCATCAAGAACCGCGAGCTCTTCATTTCTGATTATGTGGACACATACCACGCTGCTGCCCTGAGGTATGAACACAGATGTGGGCAGTCTGAGGGTGGGGGGTGACTGCTCTGATCTCCTTTGGGGCTCACTGTATTCAATCAGACAACTCATGGTTGTGGGAATCTAATACTCTTCTGTTTCCGGGGGTTGTTGCTAACCCCACTTTAACCTCTTCTGTATTTCCTAGTATTATTTGCTGAAGTTTTCAAAATATCCTGAAGAGCTGTGGTTAGCTTTGTAAAAAGCAAGCCTTACTGCTTGTAAGGATGGAGGGAAAACAGATAAAGCAGCTATGACAGCATGTTAATCATTAGGAAGCCTAAGAAATTATACAAGTTTTTATTCTCTCTTTTTTTCAGTTTCCTTATGTCTGAACATTTTTACTAAAAAGCATGTTGAAGAGTAGGGGAATGTATTGAAGACACAGTCTGAAGCAGAAGGGACATCATACCGAGTTGTGGTGTCAGGGAAAGGGAGTGTGCCCTCCTGTTTGTACTTTGTGCTCTGTCCAGAACAGGTGGCAGGATTCATTCCTTGTACATGTTGTGTCTCTCTGGTTGGCTGATTTGGGGTCTCTTAAGAGACATAAGAATTCTGGTAGCTGACTTAGTTAGGGTTCCATTACTGTGATGAGACACCATGACCATGACAACTCTTTTAAAGGAAATCATTCAACTGGGGCTGGCGTATAGTGCCAGAGGTTTAGTCTGTTATCATCATGGTGGGAAGCATGGTGGCGAGAGGCAGACATGGCGCTGGAGAAGGAGCTGAGAGTCCTGCATTTTGATCCGTAGGCAGCAGAAGGGAGCTGTATAACACATTAGGTGTAATTTGAGCATAGGAGACCTCAATGCCTACCCCCACAGTGACACACTTCCTCTAGCCAGGGCACACCTACTTCAACAAGGCCACACCTCCTAATATGCTACTGCCTGAGCCAAGTATTCAAACACATGAGTCTGTGGAACCTTTCCTATTGAAACCAGCACAGTAGCTAATATAACAATTTTTTTTAAAGATTTATTTATTCATTATGCATACAGTATTCTGTCTACATGTAACCCCTTCAAATCAGAAGAGGGCGCCAGATCTCATTATATATGGTTGTAAGTCACCTTGTGGTTACTGGGAATTGAACCCGGAACCTCTGGCAGAGCAGACAGTGCTCTTAACCTCTGAGCCAGCTCTCCAGCCCCCACATCATAACTCTTCACTCCCTGTAAATTATAAGGTTGTATCAAACAACAACAAAACCTTCAGTCTCTTTGTTAAAGAATTTGAGTACAATAAAAGCCATTAAGATTTGCTGGCTTTAGCGTAACTACTTCAAGTGGGATGCAACCGTTTCTTGAATGGTCACATGTTCAGTGACAGTGCCTGGGGTTGTTTGTACAGAGCTACAAGATGGAGCCAGTTACTTTAACAGGAGAATAGGGTCACGTATAAGACTGCTGTCTTAATGCAGACCTTGGGTCTCAGAGTATATGTCCTTATGGCCTTTGTCTCAATTGCTCACTCATCTTAGCCACTGTGGGGCAAATCCGTAGGTAACATATAAATAAATGAGTTGCCTATGGTCCAGTGGAGCCTTTTTAAAAATGGAAAGTAAGAATTTCATTTAAATTTCACTTGCCAAAAATTTTTTTCCACTTCTTTTTCAACCATTTAAAGATGTAAAATTGTCCTCTTTAGTATATAAAAACGGGCACGGGCAGAGGGGCTGTGTGGCTTGTTGGTCAGTAGTGTGCTTGGAACTGCCTCAGGGCAGGAGGAGGGTGTGTTTGATTTACAGGGCTTTTGCTAAATTTTGAGAATGTCTGTGGTGGTTTATAAACTTTCCTGTTCTTTTGGAAGTGGATTTCCAGGCTTAAATTAAGCCTACATGCTGAGCAAAGCCAATTAATGACTAGTTGATGAAACAAATGGTTAATGTAGTAGGCCAGCGCACTTGCCTTGTGTTCTTTCCATCTTCTCACTGGTTGAGGTCATGGTTGTTGTTGTTGTTGTTTTTTTTTTTTAATTTAATTTTATTTATATATTTATTTATTACAATTTATTCACCTTATATCCCCAATGCAACCCCCTCCCTTGTCTCCTCCCAGTCCCACCCACAATCCCTCTTCTCCTCCTGTGACCTTTCCCTAGTCCCCTGATAGGAGAGGACCTCCTCCTCTTCCATCTGACCCTAGCCTATCAGGTCTCATCAGGACCTGCTGCATCATCTTTCTCTGTGGCCTGGCAAGGGTGCACCACCCAGGGGAAGGTGATCAAAGAGCCAACCACTAAGTTCATGTCGGAGACATCCCCTGTATCCCTTACTAGGGAACCCACTTGGAAACTGAGCAGCCAATGGGCTTCCTCTGAGCAGGGTGTCTAGGTCCTCTCCATGCATGGTCCTTGGTTGGAGTATTGCTCTCTGCAGGGCCTCTGGCCCCAGGTTTTGTGTGTGTGTGTGGGGGGGGGTTGTTTTTGGTGTTTTTGTTGTTGTTGTTGTTTGTTTTGTTTTTTGGCTCTGTTGGTCTCCTTGTGTAGTTACTGTCCCCTCCAGATCTTTCTATCTCCCTCTTCTTCCATAAGTTTTCTGGCACTCTGCCCAAAGTTTGGCTGTGAGTCTCAGTATCTCCTTTGATACCCTGGTTGTAGAGTCTTTCAGAGGTCCTCTGTGGAAGGCTCCTGTCCTGTTTCTTGACTTCCAATGTCTATCCTGTTTACCCTTCTGAATGAGGATTAATCATCTTCCATAGGGTCCTCATTGTTTAGTTTCTCTAGGGCTATAGATTTTAGTATGTTTATTCTATATTATATGGCTAATACCCATTTATAAGTGAGTATATATCATTTGTATCTCTCTGCTTCTGGGTTACCTCACTCAGGATGATATTTTCTAGTTTCCACCATTTACCTGCGAATTTCATGATTTGCTTGTTTTTAATTGCTGAGGAGGTCATGGTTTTAAAAGACTTCCAGTTCTAGTTAAGGAAATGGTGGAAAGTGTAATTGGTTGTCCAACATGTTTTTGCATAATTGCTTAAAATGAATTAATTTGAGGATTTTTAATGCTGTTGGTATTTGATAGATAATATTCGTGTAGTGTTAGCATTTTTAGAAGAGCTGCTGTACCTCTGTCTGGACAGGTAAATTTTGATTCCTCTAGGCAGGCTTGCACTGCTTCATCTGGGGATGAGAAGCTGGGAGCCACCACCCTGGCCTCTCCCACCTTAGCTTCTCCAGTGGCAGTACGTAAGGTTCTTTTTACAAGGTGTGTGTGACTAGACTCTTTACTGGCTGTTAGGCTTTTGATCCTCTTGTTACATTATCATAAAAGTTGTCCAAAAAGTAGTAGGTCTGGTACAAAAACTTCATCTCCATTTTTTTCTTAAGTGATTTTTTTTTTTGAGATTATAATGTAATTGTATCATCTCACTTCATTTTCCTTCCTCCAAGCCCTCCCATGTGGTATTTTTTTCTTGCTCCTTTTCAAATTCATGGCTTCTTTTTGCATTAATTGTTGTTGCAGAAAGATATATATTATAGATCCTTAAATACACCAGAACAACCTATTCTGTCTATATAATGTTACTTGATGTGTGTTTTCAGGGCTGACCATTTGGTAGTTGATAACCACAGAGAAGTGGAGTGAGGGTCTCTCATTAAGGAAACTTAACCAAATTTCTTTCCTTTCCTTTCCTTTCCTTTCCTTTCCTTTCCTTTCCTTTCCTTTCCTTTCCTTTCCTTTCCTTTCCTTTCCTTTCCTT